CTTTTTTTTATCTGTCTCATACACATGCAAGATTTCAGGTATGTCTTGCTACTTCTACTTACACTTAGGTCACACTACACATACGTGTACAACCATATATATACACACCCCTCTTGGTTTTCTTCTATTTTCTTTCTAGTTCTTGTTCTTGTTTATTTCCTCTTACCTCCATGGGGAAGTGGAACAGAATTCTTCCTCCGTAAGCCATGCGTGTTGTAAGAGGCGACTAAAATGCCGGGAGCAAGGAGCTAGTAACCCCTTCTCCAGTATATATTACTAAATGTAAAAGGAGAAACTTTCGTTTTTCCTTTTGGGCCACCCCCGCCTCGGTGGGATACGGCCGGTGTGTTGAAAGAAAGAAGTCTGTTGAGTATACCTGGTAAAGTGTATAGTAGAGTTATTATTGAAAGAATTAAGAGTAAGACAGAGAATAGGATAGCAGATGAACAAGGAGGCTTTAGGAAAGGTAGGGGGTGTGTGGACCAGGTGTTTACAGTGAAACATATAAGTGAACAGTATTTAGATAAGACTAAAGAGGTTTTTGTGGCATTTATGGATTTGGAAAAGGCATATGACAGGGTGGATAGGGGGGCAATGTGGCAGATGTTGCAGGTGTATGGTATAGGAGGTAGGTTACTGAAAGCAGTGAAGAGTTTTTACGAGGATAGTGAGGCTCAAGTTAGAGTATGTAGGAAAGAGGGAAATTATTTCCCAGTAAAAGTAGGCCTTACACAAGGATGTGTGATGTCACCGTAGTTGTTTAATATATTTATAGATGGGGTTGTAAGAGAAGTAAATGCCTTGGCAAGAGGCGTGGAGTTAAAAGATAAAGAATCACACATAAAGTGGGAGTTGTCACAGTTGCTCTTTGCTGATGACACTGTGCTCTTGGGAGATTCTGAAGAGAAGTTGCAGAGGTTGGTGGATGAATTTGGTAGGGTATGTAAAAGAAGAAAATTAAAAGTGAATACAGGAAAGAATAAGGTTATGAGGATAACAAAAAGATTAGGTGATGAAAGATTGGATATCAGATTGGAGGGAGAGAGTATGGAGGAGGTGAATGTATTCAGATATTTGGGAGTGGACGTGCCAGCAGATGGATCTATGAAAGATGAGGTGAAGCATAGAATTGATGAGGGGAAAAGAGTGAGCGGTGCACTTAGGAGTCTGTGGAGACAAAAAACTTTGTCCTTGGAGGCAAAGAGGGGAATGTATGAGAATATAGTTTTACCAAAGCTCTTATAAGGGTGTGAAGCATGGGTGATGAATGTTGCAACGAGGAGAAGGCTGGAGGCAGTGGAGATGTCATGTCTGAGGGCAATGTGTGGTATGAATATAATGCAGAGAATTCGTAGTTTGGAAGTTAGGAGGAGGTGCGGGATTGCCAAAATGCTGTCCAGAGGGCTGAGGAAGGGTTGTTGAGGTGGTTCGGACATGTAGAGAGAATGGAGTGAAACAATGACTTCAAGAGTGTATTAGTCTGTAGCGGAAGGAAAGCGGGGTAGGAGTAAGCCTAGGAAAGGTTGGAGGGAGGGGGTAGAGGTTTTGTGTGCGAGGGGCTTGGACTTCCAGCGGGCATGCATGAGCGTGTTTGATAGGAGCGAATGGAGACAAATGGTTTTTAATACTTGACATGCTGTTGGAGCGTGAGCAAAGCAACATTTATGAAGGGATTCAGGGAAACCGACAGGCCGGACTTGAGTCCTGGAGATGGGAAGTACAGTGCTTGCACTCTGAAGGAGGGGTGTTTATGTTGCAGTTTAAAAACTGTTGTGTAAAGCACCCTTCTGGCAAGACTGTGATGGAGTGAATAATGGTGAAAGTTTTTCTTTTTCGGGCCACCCTGCCTTGGTGGGAATCGGCCAGTGTGTTAATAAAAAAAAATTAATAAATATATGCATTAGCAATAGAACTAGGAATAAAAAACAATATAAAATAAAATGCATATACAATACACTCACTATTTACCTTAAAATATTTGTAGTCTTAATGTTGGGTGAGAGGTGAGTAGTATTTATTGTAGGAAGTCAGGTGTGGTAGTCTGCCTAGCTACTACACCTCACAATTATATTTGTGTGTTTTATTATGATTGTATAATTTTGTTTATATGGTATGTAATGTGTTTCTTATATAATTCTAAAAAATGTCAAAGATTAATGAAAATATCTATAATAATTATAGGTAGTAGGTTGGTAGACAGCAACCACCCAGGGAGGTACTACCGTCCTGCCAAGTGAGTGTAAAATGAAAGCCTGTAATTGTTTTACATGATGGTAGGATTGCTGGTGTCCTTTTTTCTGTCTCATGAACATGCAAGATTTCAGGTACGTCTTGCTACTTCTACTTACACTTAGGTCACACTACACATACATGTACAAGCACATATATACACACCCCTCTGGGTTTTCTTCTATTTTCTTTCTAGTTCTTATTCTTGTTTATTTCCTCTTATCTCCATGGGGAAGTGGAACAGAATTCTTCCTCCATAAGCCATGCGTGTTGTAAGAGGCGACTAAAATGCCGGGAGCAAGGGGCTAGTAACCTCTTCTCCTGTATATATTACTAAATGTAAAAGGAGAAACTTTCGTTTTTCCTTTTGGGCCACCCCGCCTCGGTGGGATACGGCCGGTGTGTTGAAAGAAAGAAAGATCTATAATAATAATATATATGACATTTAAAATGCCTCAGAGCAATTATTATTTATTATTAATATTATTATTATTATTATTATTATTATTATTATTATTGCATCTTCAACACTAGTGATACACTCTTAGTGATTTTAACCCTTAAGATAGTCCAAACGTATATATACCTTCTCTTGCGCAGCGCCCCGAATATTTTGGAAAAAAAAAATAGTTTTTCATAGAAAAAAAGAGCACATTTTTTTAATTTTTTTAGAATAAAAAAAATTAGGGTCAGTACTTACCGAGATATGAGGCCGAGAAGTTCTCACTGGATGCTCACCTGACAGCAACATGGAGTCCTGCAACTTGCAGAAGTGTTGTCGATATACCTTTTTTTCTATTTTTCATATAATTTTATACAATTTTTATGTTCTGATAATTACAATTTATAGTAATTCTTGTCATTTCATAGCCAATCTTTGTTCTGACACTAGTATTAGGTACTGAAATTGTACTCAAATTGTCACAAACACACTGACAGGTGGACATTTACACCTGCCTTGGTCATTTACTATTGTCTTGGAATATATACAAAGTATTTATATGTCCCCAATGTTTTGGATATGTGGAAGTATATAATAATAATGAAGAGGAAGAGGAAGAGGAAGAGGAAAAGGAAGGAAGGAAGGAAGGAAGGAAGGAAGGACGGGAGGGAGGGAGGAGGGAGGGAGGGAGGGAGGGAGTAGTTTGATGAGCATACTGAGGGTGCAGTGATAACACTTGATAAGAAAAAATTAGAGGTGACATTTGATGAGCATCAGCCCTGCTTTGTTTTCACTGGTACACAAACATGTCTGTCTTATCTGTCTTTCAAGCTCCATGTCTATCTGTCTAGCTCTCTGTCTCAGAGAGAGCCACAAGACTGCGGTCATCACCTTTACTCACATCTTCAAGCAGAGTATAGCACTTTGTATGGATTTTTTTGGGTTATCCTAGGTAATTTACACTATGTATACTTGTATTTATGTGTACCTGTGAGACAGAGATAGACAGAGACAGACAAAAACAGAGACAGATAGACAGAGATAGACAGAGACCGACAGACCCTAAGCTTGGGGTTAACATCACTTTCCTCTTAAAAGAGGAGTGTTAATATATTACATCTGTGAATCCTTGGTGTTTGCCGCACTGTTTGCTCTAGCTGGAGCTCAATATAACTGGCGCTCCCACAAGGTACTAAATGGTCCCAGATTTTTTTTAATATGGTGCACACCGAGTGTTAAGACCCATTCCATGCTGACCAGGCATCTCAGGGCAATTGTGCCCAATTTGGAGGCAGGAAAATTAAAACGTATATATACGTTTGGAGGGATATGTTGTGTATCTTTATACGTATGTGCTTCTAAACTGTTGTGTTCTGAGCACCTCTGCAAAAACAGTGATTATGTGTAAGTGAGGTGAAAGTGTTGAATGATGAGAGTATTTACTTTTTGGGGATTTTCTTTCTTTTTGGGTCACCCTGCCTCGGTGGGTCACCCTGCCTCAGTGGGTCACCCTGCCTCGGTGGGTCACCCTGCCTCGGTGGGTCACCCTGCCTCGGTGGGTCACCCTGCCTCGGTGGGTCACCCTGCCTCAGTGGGTCACCCTGCCTCGGTGGGTCACCCTGCCTCAGTGGGAGACGGCCGACTTGTTGAAAAAAAAAAAATACAATTATCAAGTTACACATAAAATATGTAATAACTTTAATACACTTGAAAGTATGAAACGCTTCCAGACATATTCAAGAGATGCGGAGCTCACAGAGACTAAACAAAGGCCTGGTGTGAGGACGCAGTAATAGTGAATCAGGAGCTGTGCAAACGAATTTTTGGTTATACAATTTGAAATGTCCATATTAGCAAATCGCCATAAAGCAGGGCCCCCCTGTACATCAAATATGATACTGTCACGATGATAAGCTTAAATAAGTGCAACATGAGGGATTTGAACTTTCAGCAAGTGTGCATGAGCATGTTAGGAGCGAGTAGAGACAAGTGGTTTTTATGATTTGACGTACTGTTGGAGTATTAGCAAAGTAATATTTATAAAGTGATTCCAGGAAACCAGCAAGCCAGACTTAAGTTCTGGAGGTGTGAAGAACAGTGCCTGCACTCTGAAGAGGGGTTGTTGATATGTTTGCTTTTTAACTGTTGTGCAGGCATGCCTCTGGCAAGACAGCGATAGAGTGAATGATGATGAAAGTGTTTCTTCTTTTTCTGGTCCCCCTGCCTTGGTGGGAAACAGCCAGTGTGTTAATAATAATAATAATAATAATAATAATAATAATAATAATAATAATAATAATAAAAATAATAATAACAATGAATGACTTACTAGAAAGTATATTATTTTTTGCCATTTCCTGCCACAATTCCCGTCCTCGGACACGGTAATATGCTCGACGTTGATCAATATATTTGATGATCTCCAAATCCTCTTTCAGGTTGTATGATTCTTTGTTGATTCTGTGGAAATCAGGTGACTCAGTTAATCACTGCATCTTAATGTACATATATAAGAGAGTCAATGAAGCGAATGACACTGCATGCTCATACGTGTGGGTGCATGTGTGCATGCATGTGTGCATGAGAGACAGAGATAGAGACACAGAGAGAGCAGCTACAAAAAACACATAAGAGACATGATAAACAAGTACACACATTCTCCACTCATATACACACATTCCTCATTCATTTACATACATTACCCATATATACACTTTCCCACCCCCATACACATATTCCCTACTCCTGTCCACATATTTCCTATCCATATACACACATTACCTACTCCTGCCCACACATTTCCCACCCAGAAACATATTAACTACTCCTGCCCACACATTTCCCTCCCACATACACACATTACCTACTCCTGCCCAAACTACCTACTCCTGTCCACACATTTCCTACCCACATACACACATTACCTACTCCTGCCCACACATTTTCCACCCACAAACATACATTACCTACTCCTGCCCACACATTTCCCACCCATATACATTACCTACTCCTGCTCACACATTTCCCACCCACATACACACATTACCTATTCATGAACTCACACATCAACCTGATATTTCAACTTACGCAGCTCTATTTAAACGGAAGGCTGGTAAAGTATTTCTTTGCCGCTTTACACCATATTTACACCCGCTTTTGGGATGGAAGGTCCGGTCATAGCGTCCCGAGGTGCTGTCTTTGCTTGCATAAGGGTCGATGAATGTTGTGACACGCTTCTCATGACGCGACACTGTGTTGCTTTCAGAAGAACTATCAACATTTGCAGAACTATCAGTTTCAGAAGAATGAGTCTTCTGCCTTGAGGGGCCAGCAGTGCAAGAATCATGGCTTCCCTGAAAAGTAAGTACCTGTGTGTATGAAATTTCAGCACTGCACCCAGTGGTTGCCGATACGTATCAATTTAAATGTTACAAGCAGACACATGGAGAAAATGAAACAAAGGAAAGAGGTTTATTGTTCTTTACAACTGAGGTTGGAAGGTAAGAAGTGTACTGTTCTATACAGCCTACAACTGAGGCTGAAATACACAAGTCACATTTGAGAGCAGTGAAATGTAAGGCATTTACGTTCTAAACATATAATCCATATCAATGCCTCATCTACTGTCTTGAATAAACTTCATCAATAAATTTTACTCGATGAAATAAACAGCCTCAGAACGAGGTTTCTCAAAGGCAAAAAATAATAAAGAGGTAGGTAGAGGAACAGAATTCTTTCTCCGTAAGCCATGCGTGTTGTAAGTCAACTAAAATGCCGGGAGCAATGGACTACTAACCCCTTCTCCTGTATACATTACTAAAGTTAAAAAGAGAAACTTTTGTTTTTCTTTTTGGGCCACCCAGCCTCGGTGGGAAGCAGTTGATTTGTTGAAAGAAAGAAAAAGAAAAGGTAGAAATGGTTAAAGAACTAGCTTTCACCACAAACATAATCCTGAATGTCATTAAACTTGCCAGAGAAGAAGATATATGGAAGATCAAACAAGAGTCTTACCTTCAGAGTGTCCTTACGTACGAGAGGCCGTTCTGCTTGAGCCAAATTTTTCTTAATTGTCATTTGTGTCGACCTGAGGATCGGTATTTCACTCTCTGAGGAGCTATCAGCAGCAGGAGAAACTTCTCGTTTCCTCTGTACCATTTTAATTTTCGACTCTCTGGATTTCAGGCGTGCTTTAATCTTTCCATGGATATTTTTTTTCCAAATATTTTTATCAATATTATCAGCACCTTCACTATCTGAAGTATCGTGTGGGAATGGCACACGAGGCTTTCTCGTTGTCTCATGCCTACTCATTTTTTTGATGGCTGAAGAGTTTGAGCATTTCTTTTGTGCAATACAGTTACAACCTGCATCTTTTGACTTATTTCTAAAAGATTTATGTGACTTTTTTAATGGTTCTCTGTTTTTGGTATGATTTCTATTAGAATGAAGTATATCAATTCTGCCATCATTCTCTTGGCTAAAGAGAAGTGTTGATGCATCAGAGTCTTCTGAAGAACTACCTGAAATTTCAGTTCTAGACTGATCAGAAGGATCTCTTTCAGAACCAGCAGAAATAATTTTTTTGTAGTCATCAGACATTTTTTCTGTGGATTCATCAAGAATTTCAATTTCATCAAGAAGTTTTTTCTTGGATTTACACAAAATTACTTCTCTAGAGTTATCAATAATTCCTTCCTTACATTCACCTCTAGAATCATCAATAATTTCTTCTTCAGATTCGATAACAATTTCTTCTCTAGAGTTTCCTCTTCTAGATACAACAGAAGTTTTTTGTACAACCTCTTCAGAAGCATCATCTTGTACTAAGAATGATCTGATTAAGTTACGATCAGGGATATTATGATCGACAATGGCAACGGTTGAGGCACTACCCGATGAGGACACCACTGTTAGAGGGGTGCTCGTAGCGATATGATGTTCATCATTTTCATGTTGCGACGGACAAGTAATAAAAATTTCTGAGCATGAAGACATCAAGCAAGGCTCAACACTGGCATTTTTTGTGTATGAAGGATAATCCCTTGTACCAGAATTAACAGTGCTGGCAATGTGACAACTGCCATCTAGCAGTTCTTGCATTTCATTAATTTCCTCTACTGTTACATTTGGTGGCATTTCAATGTTAGATTGCATTTCAGGTCCTTGTGTGGTCTGACAATTGTCTTGGTTCATGTCCTCCATATTGTGGACTAAATGTGTGACTTCTGACATAGGTAAAGACACCATGGGTTTGCTTTGTTCATTTTTGGACCACAAAGTTAAATGTTGAACAGGCAATTCTTCTGTGCTGTCATTAATGCATTCCTTTTCGCTTATTTTCTGATTCGTTTCACCCTGAGTGCAATCATTTCCCTGGGAAGTTGGAACATTCTTCCTGTTAATTCTGCCCAGTACCCCACTCGTACACAATCCTGAATGGCTGGTATCTTCTAATAAACCATCAATTTCATCTCCAAAACTGGCACTATACCCCGGAAAGTATCCTGATGTCGGAATTACATTAAAACCTTGTGAACTGTCAATAGTTTGTCTTGTCTGAGAATACTCAAGGTTTAATGTTCCTGAATTATTTTCCCCACTCTCTGAAACTTGCCCAGCATTATCATTCCCAGAAACACTTATGTTGCATTTATTTGTCTGGCCATTTTTAGTTTCTCTTATGCTCTTTCTCTGCAACTGACTCACTCTATCTTCCACATGGCTTTGTTGATCTTCAACAAACTGCACACTGTCTTCCAGTTCCAGTCCACAAAGCTTTCTTTCTCTATAAGAGCTCTTACCAACAATATTATTCTTCCTAACATCAACATTTGCAAGCTTGTCTTCATTTATTACATTTTTAAGCATTATTGTTTGTACTTGCTGCAGTTCATTTAAAGGGGTACCTGTTTGCTTGCTTCCCTCCCCAGAACTTTGCTTCTCAGGCTCCCTATGTTTATTTTGCTCTTTGATACAACTAGTTTGCTTGCTACCCTCTCTATTAGCCCCAGTTTGTTTGCTTTGCTCTCCAAGATCACCTGTTTGATTCCTGTGTTCTACAGAACCACCTATTTGCCTATGTTCTTCAGAACCATCTGTTTGTTTATGTTCTTCAGATACAACTGTTTGCCTATGTTCTTCAGAATCACCTGTTTGCTTCCTATGTTCTTCAGGCACTACTGTTTCCTTCCTATGTTCTTCAGAATCACCTGTTTGCTTCCTATGTTCTTCAGGCACTACTGTTTCCTTCCTATGTTCTTCAGGCACTACTGTTTCCTTCCTATGTTCTTCAGGCACTACTGTTTCCTTCCTATGTTCTTCAGGCACTACTGTTTCCTTCCTATGTTCTTCAGGCACTACTGTTTCCTTCCTATGTTCTTCAGGCACTACTGTTTCCTTCCTATGTTCTTCAGGCACTACTGTTTCCTTCCTATGTTCTTCAGGCACTACTGTTTCCTTCCTATGTTCTTCAGGCACTACTGTTTCCTTCCTATGTTCTTCAGACACAACTGTTTGCTTCCTATGTTCTTCAGAATGACCTGTTTGCTTATGTTCTTCAGAATGACCTGTTTGCTTCCTATGTTCTTCAGAACCACCTGTTTGCTTCCTATGTTCTTCAGGCACTACTGTTTGCTTCTTATGTTCTTCAGAACCAACTGTTTGCTTCCTATGTTCTCCAGGCACTACTGTTTGCTTTCTATGTTCTTCAGGCACTGCTATTTGCTTCCTATGTTCTTCAGGCACTGCTGTTTGCTTTCTATGTTCTTCAGGTACTGCTGTTTGCTTCCTATGTTCTTCAGGAGCCACTGTTTGTTTCCTATGTTCTTCATGAACCACTGCTTGCCTCTTACATTCTTCAGGAGCAACTGCTTGTTTATGTTCTTCAGGAGCAACTGCTTGCTTATGTACTTCAGGAGACTTCACTTGGCTCCTGTTTCTTTCAGGAGGTCCTGTTTGTTTCTTGTCCTTTTCAGGAGACCCTGTTTGTTTCTTGTTCTGTTCAGGAGGCCCCATTTGTTTCTTGAACTGTTCAGGAGGCCCTGTTTGTTTCTTGTCCTGTTCAGGAGGCCCTGTTTGTTTCTTGTACTGTTGAGGAGGCTCTACCTGATCTCCTGTCTCCTCTCCAGCATGCATGGATTCCTTCACATTCCTCAGAGCCTTCTTAGTTGTTTGTGTGTGAGTTCCGTTGAGTCTCCTGAGCTGTGAGGCTACACACTTACTATGACACTCGTCCCTGCTACAACCCTCAACAACACCACCTTCATGTTCCTCAACACTCCTCTTTGACCCACTCTCTTTATCTCTAATCTTTTCCACACACTTCTGAGTCCCATTTCTTTCTTCAATTTCATCATCATAATCTTCTATCTCAACTACTAGTTCCTCTTCTTTATCGTCATCTTCCTGCATTATATCCTTGGGTGAACAAAACCTGGAAAAATAAGAGCAAATTACACCACATACATACAACAAGAGATGTGATAAAACCATAACTCACATCAATAAAAGATGATAAAACCATAATAAATACATAGGTAGAGATGTGATAAAACAATAACTACATCAATAAATACAGTGGGACCTCTACACTCACAATGGAGCTACACCTCTGGAGGTATTCTGAATCTAATCTGCAAACAAACAAAATTATGTTTGCACACTGCTGGCAAGACAGAATGATGAGTGTGACATTACACTGTACTACCTACCAGTGTATCAGTATGTTTGAGAGAGTGTGACATTACACTGTAATGCCTACCAGTGTATCAGTATGTTTGAGACAGTGTGACATTACACTGTACTGCCTACCAGTGTATCAGTATGTTTGAGACAGTGTGACATTACACTGTACTACCTACCAGTGTATCAGTATGTTTGAGACAGTGTGACATTACACTGTACTGCCTACCAGTGTATCAGTATGTTTGAGACAGTGTGACATTACACTGTACTACCTACCAGTGTATCAGTATGTTTGAGACAGTGACATTACACTGTACTACCTACCAGTGTATCAGTATGTTTGAGACAGTGTGACATTACACTGTACTACCTACCAGTGTATCAGTATGTTTGAGACAGTGTGACATTACACTGTACTGCCTACCAGTGTATCAGTATGTTTGAGACAGTGTGACATTACACTGTACTGCCTACCAGTGTATCAGTATGTTTGAGACAGTGTGACATTACACTGTACTGCCTACCAGTGTACCAGTATGTTTGAGACAGTGTGACATTACACTGTACTGCCTACCAGTGTATCAGTATGTTTGACACAGTGTGACATTACACTGTACTGCCTACCAGTGTACCAGTATGTTTGACACAGTGACATTACACTGTACTGCCTACCAGTGTATCAGTATGTTTGACACAGTGTGACATTACACTGTACTGCCTACCAGTGTATCAGTATGTTTGACACAGTGTGACATTACACTGTACTGCCTACCAGTGTATCAGTATGTTTGAGACAGTGACATTACACTGTACTGCCTACCAGTGTATTAGTTTGACACAGTGACATTACACTGTACTGCCTACCAGTGTCTCAGTATGTTTGAGACAGTGACATTACACTGTACTGCCTACCAGTGTACCAGTATGTTTGACACAGTGACATTACACTGTACTGCCTACCAGTGTACCAGTATGTTTGACACAGTGACATTACACTGTACTGCCTACCAGTGTACCAGTATGTTTGACACAGTGACATTACACTGTACTGCCTACCAGTGTACCAGTATGTTTGACACAGTGACATTACACTGTACTGCCTACCAGTGTATCAGTATGTTTGACACAGTGACATTACACTGTACTACCTACCAGTGTATCAGTATGTTTGAGACAGTGACATTACACTGTACTGCCTACCAGTGTACCAGTATGTTTGACACAGTGACATTACACTGTACTGCCTACCAGTGTATCAGTATGTTTGACACAGTGACATTACACTGTACTGCCTACCAGTGTACCAGTATGTTTGACACAGTGACATTACACTGTACTGCCTACCAGTGTACCAGTATGTTTGAGACAGTGTGACATTACACTGTACTACCTACCAGTGTATCAGTATGCTTGAGACAGTGTGACATTACACTGTACTGCCTACCAGTGTATCAGTATGTTTGAGACAGTGTGACATTACACTGTACTGCCTACCAGTGTATCAGTATGTTTGACACAGTGACATTACACTGTACTGCCTACCAGTGTACCAGTATGTTTGAGACAGTGTGACATTACACTGTACTGCCTACCAGTGTATCAGTATGTTTGAGACAGTGTGACATTACACTGTACTACCTACCAGTGTATCAGTATGTTTGAGACAGTGACATTACACTGTACTACCTACCAGTGTATCAGTATGTTTGAGACAGTGTGACATTACACTGTTCTGCCTACCAGTGTATCAGTATGTTTGAGACAGTGACATTACACTGTACTGCCTACCAGTGTACCAGTATGTTTGAGACAGTGTGACATTACACTGTACTGCCTACCAGTGTATCAGTATGTTTGAGACAGTGTGACATTACACTGTACTACCTACCAGTGTATCAGTATGTTTGAGACAGTGACATTACACTGTACTACCTACCAGTGTATCAGTATGTTTGAGACAGTGTGACATTACACTGTTCTGCCTACCAGTGTATCAGTATGTTTGAGACAGTGACATTACACTGTACTGCCTACCAGTGTATCAGTATGTTTGAGACAGTGTGACATTACACTGTTCTGCCTACCAGTGTATCAGTATGTTTGAGACAGTGACATTACACTGTACTACCTACCAGTGTATCAGTATGTTTGAGACAGTGTGACATTACACTGTACTGCCTACCAGTGTATCAGTATGTTTGAGACAGTGACATTACACTGTACTGCCTACCAGTGTATCAGTATGTTTGAGACAGTGTGACATTACACTGTTCTGCCTACCAGTGTATCAGTATGTTTGAGACAGTGTGACATTACACTGTACTGCCTACCAGTGTATCAGTATGTTTGAGACAGTGACATTACACTGTACTACCTACCAGTGTATCAGTATGTTTGAGACAGTGTGACATTACACTGTACTACCTACCAGTGTATCAGTATGTTTGAGACAGTGTGACATTACACTGTACTGCCTACCAGTGTATCAGTATGTTTGAGACAGTGTGACATTACACTGTACTGCCTACCAGTGTATCAGTATGTTTGAGACAGTGTGACATTACACTGTTCTGCCTACCAGTGTATCAGTATGTTTGAGACAGTGTGACATTACACTGTACTGCCTACCAGTGTATCAGTATGTTTGAGACAGTGTGACATTACACTGTACTACCTACCAGTGTATCAGTATGTTTGAGACAGTGTGACATTACACTGTACTACCTACCAGTGTATCAGTATGTTTGAGACAGTGACATTACACTGTACTACCTACCAGTGTATCAGTATGTTTGAGACAGTGACATTACACTGTACTACCTACCAGTGTATCAGTATGTTTGAGACAGTGACATTACACTGTACTACCTACCAGTGTATCAGTATGTTTGAGACAGTGTGACATTACACTGTACTGCCTACCAGTGTATCAGTATGTTTGAGACAGTGACATTACACTGTACTACCTACCAGTGTATCAGTATGTTTGAGACAGTGTGACATTACTCTGTACTGCCTACCAGTGTATCAGTATGTTTGAGACAGTGTGACATTACACTGTACTGCCTACCAGTGTATCAGTATGTTTGAGACAGTGACATTACACTGTACTACCTACCAGTGTATCAGTATGTTTGAGACAGTGTGACATTACACTGTACTACCTACCAGTGTATCAGTATGTTTGAGACAGTGTGACATTACACTGTACTGCCTACCAGTGTATCAGTATGTTTGAGACAGTGTGACATTACACTGTACTACCTACCAGTGTATCAGTATGTTTGAGACAGTGTGACATTACACTGTTCTGCCTACCAGTGTATCAGTATGTTTGAGACAGTGTGACATTACACTGTACTGCCTACCAGTGTATCAGTATGTTTGAGACAGTGTGACATTACACTGTACTACCTACCAGTGTATCAGTATGTTTGAGACAGTGTGACATTACACTGTACTACCTACCAGTGTATCAGTATGTTTGAGACAGTGACATTACACTGTACTACCTACCAGTGTATCAGTATGTTTGAGACAGTGACATTACACTGTACTACCTACCAGTGTATCAGTATGTTTGAGACAGTGACATTACACTGTACTACCTACCAGTGTATCAGTATGTTTGAGACAGTGTGACATTACACTGTACTGCCTACCAGTGTATCAGTATGTTTGAGACAGTGACATTACACTGTACTACCTACCAGTGTATCAGTATGTTTGAGACAGTGTGACATTACACTGTACTGCCTACCAGTGTATCAGTATGTTTGAGACAGTGTGACATTACACTGTACTGCCTACCAGTGTATCAGTATGTTTGAGACAGTGACATTACACTGTACTACCTACCAGTGTATCAGTATGTTTGAGACAGTGTGACATTACACTGTACTGCCTACCAGTGTATCAGTATGTTTGAGACAGTGTGACATTACACTGTACTACCTACCAGTGTATCAGTATGTTTGAGACAGTGTGACATTACACTGTACTGCCTACCAGTGTATCAGTATGTTTGAGACAGTGTGACATTACACTGTACTGCCTACCAGTGTATCAGTATGTTTGAGACAGTGTGACATTACACTGTACTGCCTACCAGTGTATCAGTATGTTTGAGACAGTGTGACATTACACTGTACTGCCTACCAGTGTATCAGTATGTTTGACACAGTGTGACATTACAATGTACTGCCTACCAGTGTATCAGTATGTTTGAGACAGTGTGACATTACACTGTACTACCTACCAGTGTATCAGTATGTTTGAGACAGTGTGACATTACACTGTACTACCTACCAGTGTATCAGTATGTTTGAGACAGTGACATTACACTGTACTACCTACCAGTGTATCAGTATGTTTGAGACAGTGACATTACACTGTACTGCCTACCAGTGTATCAGTATGTTTGAGACAGTGACATTACACTGTACTGCCTACCAGTGTATCAGTATGTTTGAGACAGTGACATTACACTGTACTACCTACCAGTGTATCAGTATGTTTGAGACAGTGTGACATTACACTGTACTGCCTACCAGTGTATCAGTATGTTTGAGACAGTGTGACATTACACTGTACTACCTACCAGTGTATCAGTATGTTTGAGACAGTGTGACATTACACTGTACTACCTACCAGTGTATCAGTATGTTTGAGACAGTGACATTACACTGTACTACCTACCAGTGTATCAGTATGTTTGAGACAGTGACATTACACTGTACTACCTACCAGTGTATCAGTATGTTTGAGACAGTGACATTACACTGTACTACCTACCAGTGTATCAGTATGTTTGAGACAGTGTGACATTACACTGTACTACCTACCAGTGTATCAGTACGTTTGAGACAGTGTGACATTACACTGTACTGCCTACCAGTGTATCAGTATGTTTGAGACAGTGACATTACACTGTACTACCTACCAGTGTATCAGTATGTTTGAGACAGTGTGACATTACACTGTACTGCCTACCAGTGTATCAGTATGTTTGAGACAGTGACATTACACTGTACTACCTACCAGTGTATCAGTATGTTTGAGACAGTGACATTACACTGTACTACCTACCAGTGTATCAGTATGTTTGACACAGTGTGACATTACACTGTACTGCCTACCAGTGTATCAGTATGTTTGAGACAGTGACATTACACTGTACTGCCTACCAGTGTATCAGTTTGCTTGAGACAATGTGACAGTATGCTGTACTACCTACCAGTTTATCAATTTGCTTGAGACAGTGTGACAGTATACTGTATTACCTGCATCCAGTGTATAAGTATCATTGAGACAGTAACTGCACACTACACTACTAACAAACTCTTTAATACTCACACATTTATCAACATCTGCTGAATATTATTATTAGATTTATATTTTATAGCTAAACCTGTAAGGGTCATGTGTTATTACCATATTTAAGGGAAAGTGCAAAACAAAGGAATCATACAGTGTCTGGGTAATGTCTGGCAATCAGGTTTAATCTAAAAAAGGGGAGAACAGGTCATATTACAATACTTGGGTCAAGAGCCCTTCATTAGTATACCTAACACACAAATAACCCACACATAGGAGAGAGGAGCCTACGACAATGTGTTGGTCCAGTCGCAGTATTGTGCCTTTTTGTTCTTTAGCGTACCTAATGTATCAAGAAAATTTGTTATTACAACCTCACCTAAAGAGGAAAAATATTAAAACTTTTGACTTTCGTAGAATTTACTTACGGTAAATATAGCTTTCTGGCCTCCTTCTCCGGTAGCTTATATGCTGGTAAATTCTTGATGATGTATGTTCTGTAATGTTGCTTCATTGACTGCCAAGTGCGTTCTCCACACACCTTCAACATAGTGTAAAAACTGTACATTTATCATTATTCATTATCAAAAATAACCTGCACTTTGGAAAGGAAACTTACGATGACTTTTCAGTCCATCCTGACCAGTCACAGCACAACAGTTATGACTTAACAATGGTCCAGGGTGGACCAAAACATCGTCATAAGTTTTCCCTGCTAAATGCGAGTTATTTGTGATTTGCTGCAACCACAGTATTGTGGCTATTTATTCATTATTATATTTGTGAGGAAGCATGGAAATAAAGAGAGGTAATCAGATTTTCTCCAAGGAGGGAAAATGTACAACCAATTCCTTGGATCAAGGGCCTTTCATCAACATCACGGCACTATCCCTCAAAGGATGGTATAACCCACAAGCTGAGTTCCTTATACTGTAATGTGTTTTGCATGCATTATTAAAGATTTCTGCCAGTGTTACTGTCAGCAGTTCTGGGGAGTCATCTTTCCCAGAACCCAGTCTCAGACCAGGCCTCTTAGGTAAGAAAGAAAATATTACAGGACTCAAAACTATTAAGATGCACACAAGAGTGTAAAGGTAAGTTTATACAGTACTAAATGGAAGTATTAGTTCGTAATATTTACCTAGCATCTTAAGTGTTCATGAAACAAAGAAAATATCTTCAATCCTTCCAGGATAAAAAAAAATGAACAAATTTCTATTTCATACACCTCTGACAGGATGATAGTACAGTACCTCCCTAAATGGTTATGGTCTACCAACCTACTACCTACCTATAAACACACACTAATAATGGTACTGGTATTTAACTGCCTGCATTTATTACAATCTCTGGAGGGTTTTGCTTTTATTTTTTTTTTATTTTATTATCACACTGGCCGATTCCCACCAAGGCAGGGTGGCCCGAAAAAGAAAAACTTTCACCATCATTTACTCCATCACTGTCTTGCCGGAAGGGTGCTTTACACTACAGTTTTTAAACTGCAACATTAACACCCCTCCTTCAGAGTGCAGGCACTGTACTTCCCATCTCCAGGACTCAAGTCCGGCCTGCCGGTTTCCCTGAACCCCTTCATAAATGTTACTTTGCTCACACTCCAACAGCACGTCAAGTATTAAAAACCATTTGTCTCCATTCACTCCTATCAAACACGCTCACGCATGCCTGCTGGAAGTCAAAGCCCCTCGCACACAAAACCTCCTTTACCCCCTCCCTCCAACCTTTCCTAGGCCAACCCCTACCCCGCCTTCCTTCCACTACAAACTGATACACTCTTGAAGTCACTCTGTTTTGCTCCATTCTCTCTACATGTCCGAACCACCTCAACAACCCTTCCTCAGCCCTCTGGACAACAGTTTTGGTAATCCCACACCTCCTCCTAACTTCCAAACTACGAATTCTCTGCATTATATTCACATCACACATTGCCCTCAGACATGACATCTCCACTGCCTCCAGCCTTCTCCTCGCTGCAACATTCATCACCCATGCTTCACACCCATATAAGAGTGTTGGTAAAACTATACTCTCATACATTCCCCTCTTTGCCTCCAAGGACAAAGTTCTTTGTCTCCACAGATTCCTAAGTGCACCACTCACCCTTTTCCCCTCATCAATTCTATGATTCACCTCATCTTTCATAGACCCATCCGCTGACACGTCCACTCCCAAATATCTGAATACATTCACCTCCTCCATACTCTCTCCCTCCAATCTGATATCCAATCTTTCATCACCTAATCTTTTTGTTATCCTCATAACCTTACTCTTTCCTGTATTCACTTTTAATTTTCTTCTTTTGCACACCCTACCAAATTCATCCACCAATCTCTGCAACTTCTCTTCAGAATCTCCCAAGAGCACAGTGTCATCAGCAAAGAGCAACTGTGACAACTCCCACTTTATGTGTGATTCTTTATCTTTTAGCTCCACGCCTCTTGCCAAGACCCTCGCATTTACTTCTCTTACAACCCCATCTATAAATATATTAAACAACCACGGTGACATCACACATCCTTGTCTAAGGCCTACTTTTACTGGGAAATAATTTCCCTCTTTCCTACATACTCTAACTTGAGCCTCACTATCCTCATAAAAGCTCTTCACTGCTTTCAGTAACCTACCTCCTACACCATACACCTGCAACATCTGCCACATTGCCCCCCTATCCACCCTGTCATACGCCTTTTCCAAATCCATAAATGCCACAAAGACCTCTTTAGCCTTATCTAAATACTGTTCACTTATATTTATATAATAAATTATTTATTTTATCAAATTTGATAATGTAACTCTTCTCTCTTCCCACAATACCACTCACGCTGTCTAAAGTTTCATTCAGTGTCATCTGCCTTACTGACACTGCATTTATCAAACCATTTTAGATGTTTTCATCAATCCATCTCATATAATGATTTCTTTTTCAACACGCCATATCACAACATGGCAGGGTGGCCTAAAAAGAAAAACGAAGTTTTCCTTTTTAAATTTAGTAATTTATACAGAAGGAGTTACTAGCCCCTTGCTCCCGGGATTTTAGTCGCCTCTTACGACATGCATGGCTTACAGAGAAAGATAATAAAAATAATAATAATAGTCTATTTCTACAAGTTCATGATACTACTGATATACACCTAGCTGACATCAATGACATACGATATAGAAAGTCCCTGCTTGATCCTCTTCACACATACAAAAGGGGATTTCAAGAACAAGCTTAATAAGGCAGTATGAATGACTGAGGCCTATTTTATGGATTAGTCCAAGCATTATTTTCATCCTGCAATCAAGAAGTACTTGGCTAGAAAGAATCTTGTATTTGAGGTTCTATTCATGTTGGATAATTCCAATAATCATCCTCCAATCGTGAAGTCTGACGACTTAACTGTGAAGGTCGTGTTTTTACCATTTAATATAACATGCTAAACAATTTGCATATGGACTCTGAGTCCACAGCAGGATTCAAACCTACACACTCTGAATCAAAGTACAGTGGACCACCGCATAACGATCACCTCCGAATGCGACCAATTATGTAAGTGTATTTATGTAAGTGCGTTTGTACGTGTATGTTTGGGGGTCTGAAATGGACTAATCTACTCCACAATATTCCTTATGGGAACAAATTCGGTCAGTACTGGCACCTGAACATACTTCTGGAGTGAAAAAATATCGTTAACCGGGGGTCCACTGTATATAGTACTTTCTCCACTCAGCTAGAGCCCAGTCTGGGATTTGTTTGAGTGGTGAAAGTACTGTGTACTTTGATGCAGTGTGTGCAGGTTCGAATCCTGCTCTAAATTGAGAGAAAATATTTATTAATACAACATCTTTGAAGGAGGGGCTGGAGATGTAAAAATTTGGAGGCTCACTTAAACTCTGATGTCTGCACACTTCTAACAAACAACTGTTAAATGAATGGCTGTGAATGTGTTTCCTTTGTTGTGTATGTCTCCCTACCTTCATGGGAGATGACCAGTGTTAAAAAAAATTAATGGCACTGTCAGCTGAGAATTACTCAGTCTGAACAACAACAGGACAAAACCAGTGGTTTAAGAAGTATAATATGAATGATGGTGACAATGATTCTGTTTCGGGTACCCTGCCTCGGCAGATGGCTTGTGTTAAAAAAAAAAAATCTAGCAGATCAGCTAAAGACGATTCAAGTGTGTGGATGACCACAGAACAAGACAACTGAATCAAGGTGTATGAATGATTCAAGTGTGTGGATGACCACCATACAAGACCACTGTATCAAGGTGTATGAATGATTCAAGTGTGTGGATGACCACCATACAAGACCACTGTATCAAGGTGTATGAATGATTCAAGTGTGTGGATGACCACCATACAAGACCACTGTATCAAGGTGTATGAATAAGAGATATGTTGCAGCTTTTTAACTGTAGTATCAGCATGCTTACGGCAAGACAGTGATGGAGTGAGTAATGATGAAAGCACTGCTTCCTTTTTGGGTCACCCTGCCTTGGTGGGAAATGGCCACTGTGTTAATACAAAATAAAATAAGATATATATTTGCAACTTACCTGTGCTTTTTCCATCTCCTCCCATAATGATCTGCCTTTGACATCATTATGCCTGTTGTGTTTAATAATGTAGTCCAGCATTGCCCTCCTCTCACTTTGGGTATACAAACGACTGCTAAAAAATAAAGTTAATTCATCAAATTAGATTATTAATTATCACATCTTTCTCTTATGCAGTACTACATGGTGGAAAAGATATATACCACATGGTGGAAAAGATATATACCACATGGTGGAAAAGATATATACCGTATGGCTGAAAAGTAATACTGTAATAATAATCAAGAAAAAGATTCCTTCTGCTATACAATTTTTCTTCCACCACTGGTCAGCTCACAGCCAGACTTCAACGATTAATATCTGAACAAGGGACATACATCTATGTATCATATTAGTGCATAACTTTTTGAAGCATGAAAAACTACTTTTTTATGAAGAGTTTGATGAACCATTTATGAAAACAGCAACTTGCTGATAGAACCTTTATAATACCAGTAACAAACTCTAAGATCACTTTACAAAATGTCTTAATTGACTTTCTCATATGCATCTGTGCTCCTTTGGCTGCTTACATCACTCACAGCGTAGCCCTCAAGCACTATTCAATATAACCTAATGAAAAACAACCCTCAAGCATCATTCAGTGTGAACTAACAAGAACATTTGACAAGGGAAGGTGGCAGACATTGTGGTTCATGAAATCTTTATTAACCCTTTCAGGGTCCCCAGGCCCTCTCCCAGACTTGTTCTCAGGGTCGCCCAAATTTCAAAAAAAAAAAAAAATTATTTTTTCTTATGAAAAGATAAAGAATCTTTTCCCGATCATAATGACACCAAAAGTATGAAATTTGATGGAAAACTTACGGAATTATGCTCTTGCGAAGTTAGCGGTCTTGACGATGTTTATGCATCGGTGATTTTGCCCACTTTGAGCCCTATTTTCAGCCAATTCCAGTGTACTAGTCGACAAATCATAACTATTTCATTAGAACTCCATTTTTTCTATCGAATGAGTACAAGAAACCACCCATTTACCGATTTCAACTATACAATACAGTGGTCAGAATTTAGCAATTTTGCCAATTTCACACAAATTTCAAAAGATGCCAATTTCCAAACAGGATCCAGAATAAACAAGAAAGACATTCCTGGCACTAAAATAACAAGTTCTCTGTTCATTAGTCACGTCCCCATGCCACTCTTACATTCTTTTTCTTTCCACTTTCAATTTTTATTCTCACAAAAAATAGATTTACTGTTATGCAGACTACTGCATTAGTGTAGAAATGGTATAAATAATATCGTCGCACTTGTGAAAGAATATTAGACTCACCAGTTGACGTGTATTGGACGCTTAGAATGATTTGTTTACTACTGAACTTTGGTAAAAAATCGAACATTTCTGCTACTTTGAGCTCAATTTCAAGGTACTTTTCATTGTAAAACCAGTCAAAAATCATCTCAATTTCTGTAACATGTCTTCCATTCTATAAAATAAGACCAGGAAAACTAGAATATAACAATAAATACCATACAAAAATACAGTGCAAAGTCGCTGTTTTAATCCAAAAACACGGTCAAAGTTTTTTTTTTCTCATTACGCACTGTGTGCTGCAGGATTTTTTTTATACTGCGCACACTGACCACATAGACCCATTCTTTCATATGTAAGCCTACCAGCTTTCTCTCACTAGATCTGAGGGCGCTAGAATTTAGGCGTACTAGTACATCAAAAACCCTGGTGCGTAAGCCGTACTAGTATGGCTGAAACCCTGAAAGGGTTAAAGCAAGCAGTTTTTTTTTTTTTAAACAAGTCTTGTCTCCCACTTTTTTATACTTCAAAATATAATGTGGCCAGCTTTCAAGACTTACTTATGGTATTCCTTTTAAGGATCCCTACAAATGAAGCATCAGAATGGTAGAATTTCTGAATAGGTACATGGTGAGAAGCACTGTACAGAGCTATCAAGGTGGCCCATTCTGAATGTATAAGAACAAGGAAGACTCTACTCCAGCTAAGGTCTACAAAATAAACTTGGGAAGCAATAACAGACTGTTGAAAACCTACAGGTCTGGAGAAGGCAAAGTTCTATTCTGATCTTCAAACAAAGCCCATGACATGAGCCCCTGGTAAGGTTAAGAGCTGCTATGGCCAACCCAGGCCATAAGATATGGTTAGCATAACCTGTTTGCTCTCTCAAGAGATGACAAGAAAGAGGATCTTATCTTCTCCCCAAGTATGAAATTCAAGAAATGAATGAAACTGTTCCTTGACCAACACAACTTTAGTAAGGTCATATTTGATATAAAATAATAGACTGTCAGCAGAAACATTGGCCAGAACATTCTTGGTAAAAAAATTATCCCAAACATTATAAAATTAAAAAATCATTTTCTTCTGAAGTTAAATACTGTAAATCCAACTTCTGCACCCTTGCACAGTTTAGGTAAAATCAGTACAGGAAGGCCCTGCTTTACAGCACTACGCTTTACATTTTGTTAACCCTTAAACTGTCCAAACAGATCTATGCTCACATGCGTAGTGCTCCAAAAGTAGATCTACGTTTTTTTTACATATTTTCAAATACAGTGGACCCCCGGTTAACGATATTTTTTCACTCCAGAAGTATGTTCAGGTGTCAGTACTGACCGAATTTGTTCCCATAAGGAATATTGTGAAGTAGATTAGTCCATTTCAGACCCCCAAACATACACGTACAAACGCACTTACATAAATACACTTACATAATTGGTCGCATTCGGAGGTGATCGTTATGCGGGGGTCCACTGTATAACAAAAAAAACGTAGATCACAGTTTTTTTGTACACGTTTTCAAATGTAAAAAAACAAAAAGAAGATCTACGTTTTTTTTACATACCTTCAAATGTTGAAAAAACGTAGATCTACGTTTGGACAGTTTAAGGGTTAATACAGTGGTTTTCAATTATAACCATTCTTCATTCATTCAGACTTCCTACGCTAAATATATTCATCACTCACTATAAGAAAATATTTTAAAAGTAAGTAATGTGTGTTGTATATGCATTTTTTAGGCCTAGCTCTATTGCTCGCTTAATACACCTACCATCCGACTTACGACCAAGCTTGGTTCCGACCAACCAGTCGTAGGTCGAAATGGACGTAAGTCGAACCTTTGAAAATTGCCGACATATTGGGTAGGGCATAATGTCAAAACTTTCCTATATAAACTACCTACATAATACTGTAATGTACAATCATTATTTCATTCTTTTTACCATAATTTACTTCTATTGTTGTATTTTAATTATTTATGTACTGTATATAATGTATACATGGTAGTGATATGTAATGTAAATTTTACATCGCATACAGTATATGTTACTATTATCTTTATGTATTGTCGACACAGTGGAATGGGAGAATACCACAGGTAGTGTCATCCTGCCAGAGAAACAACTCTGGAACATGTGTAATATGTATCTGGCTGGCTGGCTGGCTGGCTCTGTGTGTGTGTGTCTGTCTGTGTGTGTGTGTGTGTGTGTCTGTGTGTGTCTGTCTGTGTGTGTGTGTGTCTGTCTGTGTGTGTGTGTCTGTCTGTGTCTGTCGTTTTGTGTGTGTGTGTGTGTGTGTGTGTGTGTGTGTGTGTGTGTGTGTGTGTGTGTGTGTGTGTGTGTGTGTGTGTGTGTGTGTGTGTGTGTGTGTGTGTGTGTCTGTCTCTGTCTGTCTGTCTGTCTGTCTCTGTCTGTCTGTCTGTCTGTGTCTGTCTGTCTGTCTGTCTGTCTCTGTCTCTCTGTCTGTCTCTGTCTCTCTCTCTCTCTCTCTCTCTGGTACATTTAAGTAAAGTTATCATACATAGTATAAATTACCTAGGATAACCCAAAAAATCCAGAAAAAGTGTTATACAGTGGGTCTGTGCTCCAGTGCCCTAAATTAATAATAATATTAATAATCATTATTATTACAATAATAATACAATATTATTATAATAACACCAGGAGGCAGCTCTGATGAAAACTCACACTCACACGAGCTTTTAAATCTCTGCACAAAATTCAATTTAAACCAGCAAATAATAGAGCCTACTAGACTGGAGAATACACTAGACCTCATCTTCACTAACAATGATGATCTGATACGAAATGTCACCATATCAAAAACAATATACTCAGATCACAACATAATTGAGGTTCAGACATGTATGCGTGGAGCCCCAGACAGACATAATGAGATTAGTCACGAGGGAGCATTCACCAAATTCAACTTCAATAACAAAAACATAAAGTGGGACCAAGTAAACCAAATCCTAATTGATATAAGCTGGGAAGATATATACTAAGCAACACAGACCCCAACTTATGCCTAGAACAGATTAACTCGGTGGCGCTCGATGTATGCACAAGGCTTATTCCTTTAAAAGGAGGAGTAGATGTAAAATAGAAAGGGACAGGCGCTCCCTTTACAGGCGACGGAAAAGAATAACAGAGCGGCTAAAACAGGTCAATATATCTGAAAGGCGTAGGGAGACACTGGTCAGAGAAATAGCAAGCATCGAACTTAAGCTAAAGAAATCTTATAGGAGTCAGGAATCGCGGGAAGAACTAAAAGCCATAAATGAAATCGAAAGAAACCCAAAGTATTTTTTCTCCTATGCCAAATCAAAGTTGAGAACAACGTCCAGTATTGGGCCCCTACTTAAACAAGATGGGTCCTACACAGATGACAGCAAGGAAATGAGTGAGCTACTCAAGTCCCAATATGACTCAGTTTTTAGCAACCCGCTAACCAGACTGAGAGTCGAAGATCAAAAAGAATATTTTATGAGAGAGCCACAGAATTTGGTTAACACAAGCCCATCTGATGTTATCCTGACGCCAAATGACTTCGAACAGGCGATAAATGACATGCCCATGCACTCTGCCCCAGGGCCAGACTCATGGAACTCCGTGTTCATCAAGAACTGCAAGAAGCCCCTATCACGAGCTTTTACCATCCTATGGAGAGGGAGCATGGACACGGGGGTCGTCCCACAGTTACTAAAAACAACAGACATAGCCCCACTCCACAAAGGGGGCAGTAAAGCAATAGCAAAGAACTACAGACTGATAGTACTAACATCCCATATCATAAAAATCTTTGAAAGGGTCCTAAGAAGCAAGATCACCACCCACCTAGAAACCCATCAATTACACAACCCAGGGCAACATGGGTTTAGAACAGGTCGCTCCTGTCTGACTCAACTATTGGATGACTACTACAAGGTCCTAGATGCACTAGAAGACAAAAAGAATGCAGATGTAATATATACAGACTTTGCAAAAGCCTTCGACAAGTGTGACCATGGCGTAATAGCGCACAAAATGCGTGCTAAAGGAATAACGGGAAAAGTTGGTCGATGGATCTATAATTTCCTCATTAACAGAACACAGAGAGTAGTAGTCAACAGAGTAAAGTCCGAAGCAGCTACGGTGAAAAGCTCTGTTCCACAAGGCACAGTACTCGCTCCCATCTTGTTCCTCATCCTCATATCTGACATAGACAAGGATGTCAGCCACAGCACCGTGTCTTCCTTTGCAGATGACACCCGAACCTGCATGACAGTGTCTTCCATTGCAGACACTGCAAGGCTCCAGGCGGACATCAACCAAATCTTTCAGTGGGCTGCAGAAAACAATATGAAGTTCAACGATGAGAAATTTCAATTACTCAGATATGGTAAACACGAAGAAATTAAATCTTCATCAGAGTACAAAACAAATTCTGGCCACAAAATAGAGGGAAACACCAACGTCAAAGACCTGGGAGTGATCATGTCGGAGGATCTCACTTTCAAGGACCATAACATTGTATCAATCGCATCTGCTAGAAAAATGACAGGATGGATAATGAGAACCTTCAAAACTAGGGAGGCCAAGCCCATGATGACACTCTTCAGGTCACTTGTTCTATCTAGGATGGAATATTGCTGCACACTAACAGCACCTTTCAAGGCAGGTGAAATTGCTGACCTAGAAAATGTACAGAGAACCTTCACGGCGCGCATAACGGAGATAAAACACCTCAATTACTGGGAGTGCTTGAGGTTCCTGAACCTGTATTCCCTAGAATGCAGGCGGGAGAGATACATGATTATATACATCTGGAAAATCCTAGAGGGACTAGTACCGAACTTGCACACGAAAATCACTCACTACGAAAGCAAAAGACTTGGCAGACGATGCAACATCCCCCCAATGAAAAGCAGGGGTGTCACTAGCACGTTAAGAGACCATACAATAAGTGTCAGGGGCCCGAGACTGTTCAACTGCCTCCCAGCATACATAAGGGGGATTACCAACAGACCCCTGGCAGTCTTCAAGCTGGCACTGGACAAGCACCTAAAGTCGGTACCTGACCAGCCGGGCTGTGGCTCATACATTGGTTTGCGTGCAGCCAGCAGTAACAGCCTGGTTGATCAGGCTCTGATCCACCAGGAGGCCTGGTCACAGACCGGGCTGCGGGGGCGTTGACCCCCGGAACTCTCCGTTAAACTCCAGATACAAACTAATATTAATATTATTATTATTATTAAGCTATAATATAATAATCGTGTCCACTCATTACTTACCTTAAAATATCTGTAGTTTTAATGTAGAGTGAGAGGTGAGTAAACAAGATTAAATGAATAAATGAGAGAATGAGAATGTAGAATGTTCACGAGTTATGTAAACAAACGTTGTTGTTGTTGTTGCTGTTGTTGTTACCAGCCCGGACAGGAACGGTTCCTGTTCACTGTCAAGCCGGCCAGAAAAACATCTCATATTTGTTAATTTATATGTTATGTAGCATGGTTATTATATAATTTTGAAAAAAAATCATAGATGGATTAAGCAAAATGTCTATATTAACGTTTTATACACATTTAATGCGCCTCAGTGATTATTATTATTATTATCATTATTAATATGGTATCTTCAAGACCAAGTACACTCTTAATGAGTGGCTCTGAGACAGACAAGCAGACAAAGACAGACACACAGGTAGACAGAAAGTCAGACACACAGGTAGACACAGACACAAGTAGACATAAAGACAGACACAGGTAGACATAAAGACAGACACAGGTAGACAGAAAGACACACAGGTAGACATAAAGACACACAGGTAGACAGAAAGACAGACACACTAGTAGACAGACAGACACACAGAGATACAGACAGATAAACAGACAGACAGATACAGACAGGTTTATGTGCAACAGTGAAAACAAATAGAGAGTTCGAGAGTAAGAGCCTTTCTTGCCACAATCTCCAGTGCAAGATTCAGACTTCATCTTAGGGGCCATGGTGAAATTTACTGTCCAGTTAGTACAGTTAATACAGTATGATGATGCTGATAGGGCAGAGTTACTCAAACTGATGCTGCCTGCATGACACATTGCTGCCGCGAGTATTGTCAAATATTGTATGTACAGTGGTGTGCATCAGCCGGCCCAGCCCAGCTGCCAGATGCACGGTCGAGTGGACGTATGTCGAGCAGGTCGTAAGTCGGATGGTAGGTGTATATGATAGTGTAAACTTTTTTTTTCAACCAGCTGTATCCCACCAAGGCAGTGTGACCAAAAAAAAAAGTTCCTTTTTTTAAATTTAGTAATGTATACAGGAGAAGGTGACTAATATGCCAGGAGCCCCTTGCTGCCGGCATTTTAGTCGCATCTTATGACACGCATGGCTTATGGAGGAAGAATTCTGTTCCATTTCCCTATAGAGTTGTAAACATGTTATCAGGATTTTATATGAATTTTAACCCTTAAACTGTCCAAACGTAGATCTACGTTTTTTCAACATTTGAAAGTATGTAAAAAAACATAGAGCTTCTTTTTCTTTTTTTTACATTTGAAAACGTGTAAAAAAAACTTTGATCTACGTTTTTTTTTGTTATGTATTTGAAAATATGTAAAAAAAACATAGACCTACTTTTGGAGCACTATGCATGTGAATGTAGATCTCTATATAGGGAGCCGTCCTATATAGTACAGAAGAGAGTGGATTATTATTATTATAATCAAGGGGGAAGCGCTAAACCCGGAGGATTATACAGCGCCTGGGGGGGGGGATGTGGAAGGCATTCAGGCTTAATTCGGGGAACTGGAGCACAGATCCAATTCCCTAAATCAAGAGCCCCTCACCAACATCAAGGAACCTTCCTTGAGGGGAGAAGAGAGTGGAGAAGTTAACTAGGCAAGGGAAGGTCATAGTATTAAGCAAAAACTATTTTTTTTAATAATGTGACTGTAGCCTGAGCTTTATGAATTATTTTATAGTCTAGCCATTTAATTTCTATACTTTTAACATACAGCTGATAATAAAGAAGTATACATACCTTTTCCAGGCGCATTTTGCTGAGTTTTTATGTGAACTTGTACTGGCCTTCTTATCATCATCATCATCATCATCATCGAAATCGCTTATAAGAGTCTCTACTTTCTCGCTGGAATATAAATAAAACACAAATGACATAAGGATATATTATTAGGCAATGAAAGGCTGGCTATAAACAGTTAAAAATTCTAAAACTATCATGTAACATCACTCTAACATTATTGCTCTTTTACATAAAATTGTGCCATGAATTCTTTCATTACTTACTCAGTCTTCACGCATTCATCCCACGAATGTTTTCCCATCATGATGTCCATTACGTCAATATCTTTTGTGAAACGTGACTTTGGAAATGCCCTAGAGGAGATAAAAGATATACAGTACTGTGAATAGCACTGGGAAAAAAAAATTTTTTACAAAAAGTATGTAAAAATTGATAACAATATACATTCCATTTACCATGCACATGCACGCATGAAAACACACTGCTGCTTCAAGATAATACAGTAAGTCCTTGACTTACAAACATGTTTAGAATCTTCTGTATTGTGTAGATCATTATTATATCATTACAGCCTCTCCTCACTTAATGATGGGTTCCATTCCTAAAAGTAGGTCGGTAAGTGAACTGGTCATTAAGCAAGGAGTGTACTATACATATAGTGGGTTTGTGTCAACCATGTTAAGATATTATTTTAGTGTCACCTTTGCACCATTTATAACATTTTTGGTATACAGGTACCATCTGACTCACGACCGAGTTCGGTTCCGACATACCGGTCGTAAGTCGAAATGGACGTAAGTCAAACCTTACTACTGAATATCAACATCACATTTTTGTAATGACTTTATTGTTTTATTTTGGTATTTCATTTTTTACTTTACTTTTATGCTGTTAGTACTGTATTTTATACTGTAAGGTTTAAGATAAACACTGTGTACAAGACAAACAGTTGTTTATTTCCCAGAAATTTGGCACAGAAAACACGGCCATAAGTCGAACGGCCATATGTTGAGCAGGTCATAAGTTGGATGGTAGGTGTATTTTTAAATGTTTATACAGTAGTTTATTGTATACTATAATAAACAGAATAGAGGAAATCAACTCTAATGTACATTATTTAGGTTTGCATGCTGGTTGGAGAGCTGGTCGTAAGTCCAAGTGGTTGGTAAACGAGTACATCGCTAAGTGAGGAGAGGTTGTAGTTTACCTTATTCACACCCTACAAAAAACTAAATAAGAGAATAAAGTATAAAATAAGTAAATTTGTTGAAGCACAAAATTAAGATAATAAATAAAATCTGTAGAAGCCAGAGAGCTTCAGGATTTAGAGTTTGCCATAGCCATGTTGATGTGAAATTCATCTACAAAAGCCTGCAGTGGAGCCCATGTAAACCTTTCTAGTATGAACTCAAATTAAGCTGTAATAAACAATTGTTGATGAATAAACAGAAAGGTGGATGAGGGGCTCAAACTGAGGTCCATAAACTGACAGTCAATTTATGGACTGAGGTGTGTGTATGCCTTAGATATACCTTTGATGAATTACAAATGTTTTCCTACTCTCAGAATCTAGCCAGCAGGTACAGTAGTTAGAGCACTGACTCCTGTTCTCTCCATCTGAACTCCATCTATTCTGTGAGTTGTTTACTACTATCTACTATTACTACTACTACTACTACTACCACCACCACCACTTCCAGCATTACCTCCACCACTACTTCTCCACATCCTTTTTTCTTCCTCTCATCATCCTGTCCCTGTCCCCCCTGCCCCTCCTTTATATACTGGCTCCCTCACCTTCCTATGTTAGTGTGACTTGTAAATGGTCCAAATCAGACCGAAATGTAGTCATAAGTTTCTCTCTCCTATGCGTGGGATATCTGTGTATGGTACAGGCAATTTAGTATGGATAAATGTAAGGTTCTAATACTGGAGAAAGAAAACAACCATAGAATTTAATCAAACCAGATGCAGAAAAGACCTAACAGATATGGGTATCAAATATCTAAAACCAAAATATCAGTTCATTAGTATTTGCAATAAAGCTAATAGATTGTTTAGCTTTATATCAAGACATAAGAAAAATCTTCAGGTTAACTGCAGTTTCATCAGTAAGGTTTCACTTAGATTATATCACATAAATGTACTGAAAAATCTACACTATGAAGGACAACAAAATTATATAATTCTTTGAATCTGAAATCCTTTCTATGAAGACTGATTATGAGAACAGTTGGATGAATGAGAATAATTGGATGAATGAGAATAGTTGGATGAGTGTAAATGATTGGGTGAGTGGGAATGGTTGGATGAATGAAAATAGTTGGAGACATGGGAATGGTTGGATGAATGAGAATAGTTGGAGACATGGGAATGGTTGGATGAATGAGAACAGTTGGAGACATGAGAATGGTTGGATGAATGAGAATGGTTGGATGAATGGGAATGGTTGGATGAATGAGAATGATTGGATGAATGAGAATGATTGGATGAATGAGAATAGTTGGATGAATGAGAATAGATGGATGAGTGTAAATTATTAAATAAGTGAGAATGGTAGGATGACTGAAACCAGTTGGTTAAGCACATTGCTCTTATATTCTGATGTTCTTAATGTTGTAAATCTGTAAAAAAATACTGAAGATTAAATACATACAGCCTAAGTAAATTAATAAAAAGTCTAAGCACTAGTTAAAGCCTAATTAAATAAATAATAATATTCAATACAGAATCTGAAAACCAATTACCTATAGTTCTCCAGTGGGAGTAATTTACCCTCAGCTACACAGTCATATATGTACTGGGAGCGAAAGCTATCCCCATGTGATATGGGAATTTGTTCACCTTGGGGCAGGAGACGGATGGTGTGAGGACCGTGTTTTGATGTCAGCTCTCCATAACCACTCTAAAATAAAAAATAAACCCATAATAAAATACTTAGCAATCACTTCACTGCTCTTAAGTCTCCCAGCTTAGGCTGAAAGATTTCAACCTTATACATGTACGTATGTGTACAATCATACATAACAGAATATGACAGGAAACACAGCTAGCTTTGGTTTCCCACTGTGTAGTTACCACATAGAATCAGGCAGCAGCACACTGCTGATGTATCCAATTTTGATAAAAAAAAAAAATTAAATACAAAATGTAAAAAAAATACAAATTCAAATTGCTATATCTGATAAATAAATGCTTTACAAAATTAATGAATAATACACAGAATGATATGTAAATCTCAGGAAAATTATTCAAAACAGAAGGTACAGACAAACAGCAGTAAACGAAAACTAGACATGCACTGAAGATGAATAAAATAATACTATGTATGTACAGTATGGAAAGTTTGACTCAAGTAAATTAAGAGAAAGTGAAAAATTAAGCTTCAGTCAGGTATAATTTAATGATTATTTTCAAATTACAGTGATGTTATAAATGTCATAATGACTGCATTAAACACAATTGTTACTGTCATATAGTTGTGATAAGCTATGAGGAATAACTCAGAATAACCCAAAAAAGCCAGCAAGTACGTATAATTTAATTACACTAAGGTCTCTTTGTTAACCTTACACTATATCTGATTTAGATGCATAGGAAAGCCATTTTTATGGTCAACAAACAATATTATATATGCACTGTGGAACCTCGGTATGCAACCCTAATTCATTCCAGAAGGCTGCTCGAGTGCCGCTCCATTTGAGTATCGAACAAGTTCTTCTCAACCAATTTCCTGTTTGGTTGACTGTTATCACTAATCTTCGTAGGCCCCACGGTGACTTATTTATTTATTTTTTTTTTTTTTTATTATCACACCGGTCGATTCCCACCAAGGCAGGGTGGCCCGAAAAAGAAAAACTTTCACCATCATTCACTCCATCACTGTCTTGCCAGAAGGGTGCTTTACACTACAGTTTTTAAACTGCAACATTAACACCCCTCCTTCAGAGTGCAGGCACTGTACTTCCCATCTCCAGAACTCAAGTCCGGCCTGCCGGTTTCCCTGAATCCCTTCATAAATGTTACTTTGCTCACACTCCAACAGCACGTCAAGTATTAAAAACCATTTGTCTCCATTCACTCCTATCAAACACGCTCACGCATGCCTGCTGGAAGTCCAAGCCCCTCGCACACAAAACCTCCTTTACCCCCTCCCTCCAACCCTTCCTAGGCCGACCCCTACCCCGCCTTCCTTCCACTACAGACTGATACACTCTTGAAGTCATTCTGTTTCGCTCCATTCTCTCTACATGTCCGAACCACCTCAACAACCCTTCCTCAGCCCTCTGGACAACAGTTTTGGTAATCCCGCACCTCCTCCTAACTTCCAAACTACGAATTCTCTGCATTATATTCACACCACACATTGCCCTCAGACATGACATCTCCACTGCCTCCAGCCTTCTCCTCGCTGCAACATTCATCACCCACGCTTCACACCCATATAAGAGCGTTGGTAAAACTATACTCTCATACATTCCCCTCTTTGCCTCCAAGGACAAAGTTCTTTGTCTCCACAGACTCCTAAGTGCACCACTCACTCTTTTTCCCTCATCAATTCTATGATTCACCTCATCTTTCATAGACCCATCCGCTGACACGTCCACTCCCAAATATCTGAATACGTTCACCTCCTCCATACTCTCTCCCTCCAATCTGATATTCAATCTTTCATCACCTAATCTTTTTGTTATCCTCATAACCTTACTCTTTCCTGTATTCACCTTTAATTTTCTTCTTTTGCACACCCTACCAAATTCATCCACCAATCTCTGCAACTTCTCTTCAGAATCTCCCAAGAGCACAGTGTCATCAGCAAAGAGCAGCTGTGACAACTCCCACTTTGTGTGTGATTCTTTATCTTTTAACTCCACGCCTCTTGCCAAGACCCTCGCATTTACTTCTCTTACAACCCCATCTATAAATATATTAAACAACCACGGTGACATCACACATCCTTGTCTAAGGCCTACTTTTACTGGGAAAAAAATTTCCCTCTTTCCTACATACTCTAACTTGAGCCTCACTATCCTCGTAAAAACTCTTCACTGCTTTCAGTAACCTACCTCCTACACCATACACTTGCAACATCTGCCACATTGCCCCCCTATCCACCCTGTCATACGCCTTTTCCAAATCCATAAATGCCACAAAGACCTCTTTAGCCTTATCTAAATACTGTTCACTTATATGTTTCACTGTAAACACCTGGTCCACACACCCCCTACCTTTCCTAAAGCCTCCTTGTTCATCTGCTATCCTATTCTCCGTCTTACTCTTAATTCTTTCAATTATAACTCTACCATACACTTTACCAGGTACACTCAACAGACTTATCCCCCTATAATTTTTGCACTCTCTTTTATCCCCTTTGCCTTTATACAAAGGAACTATGCATGCTCTCTGCCAATCCCTAGGTACCTTACCACGAAATACTTTACAGCGAAGTTCTGACAGGTCATATTTGTTTGGTCGAGTGCTGAGCTTTGTTCGAGTGGGGAGCTGGTCATATACCAAGGTTCCCCTGTACATATATATTATATTGTTATTATGTTCACGAAAAGTGATAAACCCGTGTGGGTCACTGGTTTAAGCTCTTCAATACCTGCAATAGTTATTGTCTTTCTCAGGATTAGCAGATGGAGGATCAAGCCTCCATCATGATACTCTGAAACACCCACATGGGTTTAGTGCTTGACATGAACAAAATAAAATACGTACTCCAGTAATACTGGACAAAATTCACCAGGTCAAATGATTTGAAATAACAGACAAAGTTCACTTGCTACAGAACTATCTGTTATTGTTACAATCACCATTACTGGCCACCTGCTCAACACCACTAGTCCATTATATCAAAGGTATGTTGCACTAATGTTTGTTCTCAAAAGACTCTTCATGTTTTGATGTATCATAAACACGAGTCAACGAAAAGGTAAATCCCATACGAATGTAAAATAAAGAACGACATGGAGGACCTATTTACAGAGAGGAAGAAAAGATGTAATACAACAAGCTGTAATCTGGTTAAATATACAAAGATTTTTATACCATGTAGTGCTTTAAATTTTGATGAGTTTTTAAACGTTTCAGGGTTTCGGCCGTACTAGTACAGCTTACGCACCGGGGTTTTTGACATACTAGTACGCCTAAATTCTAGCGCCCTCAAATCTAGTGAGAGAAAGCTGGTAGGCCTACATATGAAAGAATGGGTCTGTGTGGTCAGTGTGCGCAGTATAAAAAAAAATCCTGCAGCACACAGTGCGTAATGAGAAAAAAAAACTGTGACCGTGTTTTTGGATTAAAACAGAGACTTCGCATTGTATTTTCATATGGTATTTATTGTTGTATTCTAGTTTTCCTGGTCTCATTTTATAGAATGGAAAACATATTAGAGAAATTGAGATGATTTTGACTGGTTTTACAATGAAAAGTACCTTGAAATTGAGCTCAAAGTAGCAGAAATGTTCGATTTTTACCAAAGTTCAAAAGTAAACAAATCATGCCAAGTGTCCAATACACGTCAACTGGTGAGTCTAATATTCTTTCACAAGTGCGCTGATATTACTTATACCATTTCTACACTAATGCAGTAGTCTGCATAACAGTAAATCTTCTATTTTTGTAAGAATAAAAATTCAAAGTGCCAGGAATGTCTTTCTTGTTTATTCTGGACCCTATTCAGAAATTGGCATCTTTTGAAATTTGTGTGAAATTGGCAAAATTGCTAAATTCTGACCACTTTATTGAATAGTTGAAATCAGGAAATGGGTGGTTTCTTGTATTCATTCGATAGAAAAAATGGAGTTCTAGCAAAATAGTTACGATTTGTGTCAACTAGTACACTGGAATTGGCCGAAAATAGGGCTCAAATTGGGCAAAATCGCCGGTGTAAACATCATCGAGACCGTTAACTTCGCAAGAGCATAATTCAGTAAGTTTTCCATCAAATTTCATACTTTTGGTATCATTATAATTGAAAAAAGATTCTTTATCTTTTCATAAGAAAAAATCTTTTTTTTTTTTTTTAAATTTGGGGACCCTGAGAACAAGTCTCGAAGAGGGCCTGGGGACCCTGAAAGGGTTGAGTATTTCCTGCATAAAAATTTTACAATGGTGTTGATGACACATATATTATGAGCTCATAATTATAATACACTGTGTAGATTTAATCTAGAATAACCCTCTAAAGTCTGTGTGATTTATTTCTATTGTTTGCACTAAGGTGTCCTGTGGCTCGGTTGACAACACGCTTCCCTCACACACTGCGTGTCCATGGTTCAATCCCAGGCATGGGTGGAAATGTTGGGCATGTTTCCTTACACCTGCAGCCCCTGTTCATCTAGAAGTAGGTACATGGGTGTTAGTCAACTGGTGTGAATTGCATCCTGGGGGATAAGATTAAAGGACCATAATGGGAATAAGACTGAGAGTCCTTGATGATGCACCGACTTTTTTAGGTTATCCTGGGTGGCTAACCCTCCAGGTTTAAAATAAAAAAAAAAGATTTATCTTATTGACCTATATAGGTATATAAAAGTAATAAATTGTACTAAATTGTTATCTGTTTTACAATAATTTTTGTACAGTACCACTGAATATATCATTGCTTAGTTAATCTTAAGTTAATTTTAAGCCTGCCCATAATGCTCTGCATACAAGGGGCTTTGACATGCTGCACTTAAAAAATTGTATTCCTTGTACTTCTCTGTATCATGTTCAAATTAATAAATAAATAAATAAAATATGATCTAGGATAACCTTAAAACCATGGGCATAAATAAGAGATTTCTAGAGTATGTTCACAGAGACTGAAAGCAGTCTCTGGGAAGGTGTTTAAGTATATGTTTGGAAGATGGAAATAAATAAAGAGGTTATACACACTATCACAAAGGCAATATAATGTCATCCTTTATTGATGTTTCACCCACACAATGAGCTTTATTAAGTCACAAACAGATCTGTTTGTGATTTAATTTATTATTTGTTTGAGAGCCAGGTGTTGAGGAATTTAATGTAAACATCGTAGATCTTGTGTTAGTATGTCCTGAAACTCTTGTGTCTTGGTATAAAATGGTATAAAATACCAACACAATGGTAAAGGAGACATAAATGCAATGTAATTTGATGCTTTGTTGATAACTTTTTGCCCACACAAGGCTTTATCAAGTCACAAATAGATATTTCCTTTTCCATCAATCAAGGATCACATTATACTGCATTTACATCTCCTTTTCCATTGTGTTGGTATTTTATACCATTTTATGCCAAGACAAGACACTCACAATGGATTTGTTTGGTAAATTTAGATTTAAGAGGATATAGAGTGTGAATTAGACTTGCCTAGCATGGGCCAGTAGGCCTAGTGCAGTGCTCCTGCATTCTGATGTTCTTGTGAGAGTAATATTATTATAATTACATTCATGGGGAGCACTAAACCCATAGGGGTCATACAGTGCCTCAGGGAATGGAAGGTAGTTAGACTAGAATCGAGAAACTGAAACACTGATCTAATTATAATCATGGAGGAACACTAAACCCATAGGATTATACAGTTGTTAGGTAAGACACATATGCAACAGTTAGGTATCTTTATTTCGAAACACAAGGGTATCTTGGTACAGACTTACAATCAACTTCGACAACCTCTACTAGTGAGAACGGCTGGATTTGAGAGGGACCTAACCTCCCAACATCTGAGTTCTTACCTCTTCTAGTGACCTACGTCTCACCTCTTGGCGCTATATAAGGCTCCATCCTGTCACTTCATCTCCATATTGTTTCATACTATGGAACAATGCTCTTCTCCAGACTGAGGGACTGACCACCTCAAAACTTTAAGGGTGATGGACTGATTACATCGTCTTCAAGTATCTTCTGCTTCTATCAACTTTTCTGTACTCGACTGAAGAAGCCTACTGTGTAGGCGAAACGTTTCGAAATAAAGATACCTAACTGTTGCATATGTGTCTTACCTAACAACTTGTCGGTATTTAATACCATTTTAATGTTCATTCAGGATTATACAGTACCTGTGGGGGGGGATGAAAGGTATTCAGGATTAATTCAGGAAACCGGAGAACAGATCCATTTCCTTAGATCAAGAGCCCCTCACCAGCATCAAGGAACCTCCCTTGAGGGGCCTTGTGAGAGTCAAAAGTATAATGATACCATAAAAAAAGACACAAACGCATTATAATGCAGTCTTACATTGACGTTTCGCCCAGACAGTGGATGGTATTTTATACCAATTATCACCATAAGAAGTGCTATCCTAGATAATTTACAATATATATGATAATTGTATTCATGTGTATCTGTGCCTAAATAAACTTAACAATACTGATGCAAGGTCGTAAGTGCAAACACTAACATATTTATTGAATATATATCTGACCTGGGATACTGGTTATTCATTTGGAGAGGCCAGAGTGCCTGGACTATAATCTTATGTTATAACATGCACAAATTCACAAGTAAAAAGATATATTTATCTCTGAAATAAATCCGTCTTGTAACAACTCACTCGGATGAGTCTGTCCAACTTGGCTTTCTCTGGACAAATTCTTATGCAGAACTTAATTGGGTCTCCATAGTAGTTGACAAAGAGCTCTGAGCAGCTATCATCTTCCTCAGCGTCAGACATGGTTGTAACCTCCAACAATAAGCGAAAAAGACAGGTTAAAATAAGAGCAGACACAAGTCTGCGGACATGCTAACACACCAACAACGATGTTTACATCGCGTTTCTTAACACCTGACTCTCAAACAAGTAATAAAATAAGTGAACCAATTGCAAACAAAAAATACTCCAACGAATATTTGCATGTATTTAAATATTTCGATATCTAAATATTTTGGATTTATGAAACAGTTACGGTATAAAGTCCAATTTGGTAGTTTCTTAAGAAATACGAGAGGCTCACTTGGCGCCATTCCACAATGGCGTCTTATTAAATAATACAAATACAAGTTTGTACAAATGCAAGTTTATTTCAACATGATACATTGTTTACACAGCAATGGGTGACACTGGAGTGCATGCTGAAAACCCATAGTTATGTAGAGCATTTCGGACAAGCTTAATTATTATTATTATAATCAAGGGGGAAGCGCTAAACCCGGAGGATTATACAGCGCCTGGGGGGGGGGGGGGGGATGTGGAAGGCATTCAGGCTTAATTCGGGGAACTGGAGCACAGATCCAATTCCCTAAATCAAGAGCCCCTCACCAACATCAAGGAACCTTCCTTGAGGGGTAGGACAAGCTTAAGCTAACATTCATGTACCTGTTAACGTAAGTAAGTAAGTTTATTCAGGTATACACAAATACAGTTACATAGAATTATCATACATAGCAGCATATGTGTAGAGAACCTAGGATAACCCAAAAAAGTCAGAGTGACTTATTTCCATTGTGGTCCTTTTATCTTATTATTATAATATAAAGGTTATAATATTTTCTTATTATTCTATAATGAAGATAACATCTTATTATCATACTAAAAAGACTATCTACTACACCAAGGTCATTAAGACTATCTACAATACGAGGGTCATTACTAGGGATAAGGTAAAATTTACACGTATGTTAGCTAAAAAATAGAAAATCATTCCCCTCCCTTTCTGTAGCTTCATTCATCAGATACCTTTTGGCACTCTTCTTGAACTGGTTCATGCTATGACTGGCTTTGACATGTGCGGGCAGTCTGTTCCATTCCTTTATTGTTGTACAATAAAAGGTGTTTGAAGCCTGGCCACTGACTGTGGGTACTACAAAGTTGTGCTCTCTCCCCCTAGTACTATGATTGCTGCGGTTCCCAACCTTGACAAAATTGACAGCAAGATATTCTGGACACTGTGAGCAATTTTATAAACATGATTTAGCTTCAGTTGTTTTACTCTTTCTTCAACATTCAGCATATCCAACTGCTGTAATTCATCCTGGCCTACATGTTCTCTTGGTCCCAGCCCCAGAATGAATCTTACGATTTTGTTCTGGGTGATTTGCAGTCTATCTTTCAGTTTTTTTGTCAAGGCAGAGTACCAAGAAGAGCAAGCGTAATCCATATGGCATTGCATAAGGGCTAGACATAGGGTCCTGCGAGCCTCAGTAGGTAGACACTGTGTTTGTCTATACAGGAACTTCAGTCTGGCATTCGCTTTCTTTACTACACTGTTCCCTATCAATTCTCCTGACATGTATGGGTCAAAGGGGATTCCCAAATATTTTACTGATGAAACCAAAGTGATGGGCTCCCCATTACACTGAACATTAAGCTGATCCTGACTTTAATATTAATGTATCAATAACTCAGTTTACCTTATTCGTAGTATATCAACCGATTTTCACACAGATGCAACAATCTCCACCTGACCACAGCATTCTGAACCTGACTATAAATACTCGCGTACTTTCCACGCAGGTAAATCTATTTGTGAGCCCACTGTGTGGGCGAAACGTTGTCAATAAAGGATAAGATTAAGATAAGATTTCGTTCGGATTTTTAACCCCGGAGGGTTAGCCACCCAGGATAACCCAAGAAAGTCATTGCGTCATCGAGGACTGTCTAACTTATTTCCATTGGGGTCCTTAATCTTGTCCCCCAGGATGCGACCCACACCAGTCGACTAACACCCAGGTACCTATTTGCTGCTAGGTGAACAGGACAACAGGTGTAAGGAAACGTGTCGAAATGTTTCCACCCGCCGGGAATCGAACCCGGGCCCTCCGTGTGTGAAGCGGGAGTTTTAGCCACCAGACCACCGGGCCACCACCACATTATACTGCATATGTGTTTATATCTCCAAGGAGAGATGGTGTCGTTAAGGAAGACCGGAGCCAATAAGGAGAGATGGAGCCGTTAAGGAAGACCGGAGCCAATAAGGAGAGGTGGAGTCGTTAAGGAAGACCGGAACCAATAAGGAGAGATGCAGTCGTTAAGGAAGACCGGAACCAATAAGGAGAGATGGAGCCGTTAAGGAAGACCGGAGCCAATAAGGAGAGGTGAGTCGTTAGGAAGACCGGAACCAATAAGGAGAGACGGAGTCGTTAAGGAAGACCGGAACCAATAAGGAGAGATGGAGCCGTTAAGGAACACCGGAGCCAATAAGGAGAGATGGAGCCGTTAAGGAAGACCGGAGCCAATAAGGAGAGATGGAGTCATTAAGGAAGACCGGAGCCAATAAGGAGAGATGGAGCCGTTAAGGAAGACCGGAGCCAATAAGGAGAGATGGAGTCGTTAAGGAAGACCGGAACCAATAAGGAGAGATGGAGCCGTTAAGGAAGACCGGAGCCAATAAGGAGAGATGGAGTCGTTAAGGAAGACCGGAACCAATAAGGAGAGATGGAGTCGTTAAGGAAGACCGGAACCAATAAGGAGAGATGGAGCCGTTAAGGAAGACCGGAGCCAATAAGGAGAGATGGAGTCGTTAAGGAAGACCAGAGCCAATAAGGAGAGATGGAGTCATTAAGGAAGACCGAAGCCAATAAGGGGAGATGGAGTCGTTAAGGAAGACCGGAGCCAATAAGGAGAGATGGAGTCGTTAAGGAAGACCGGAACCAATAAGGAGAGATGGAGTCGTTAAGGAAGACCGGAACCAATAAGGAGAGATGGAGCCGTTAAGGAAGACCGGAGCCAATAAGGAGAGATGGAGTCGTTAAGAAAGACTGGAGCCAATAAGGAGAGATGGAGCCGTTAAGGAAGACCGGAGCCAATAAGGAGAGATGGAGTCGCTAAGGAAGACCAGAGCCAATAAGGAGAGATGGAGCCGTTAAGGAAGACCGGAACCAATAAGGAGAGATGGAGCCGTTAAGGAAGACCGGAACCAATAAGGAGAGATGGAGTCGTTAAGGAAGACCGGAACCAATAAGGAGAGATGGAGCCGTTAAGGAAGACCGGAGCCAATAAGGAGAGATGGAGTCGTTAAGAAAGACTGGAGCCAATAAGGAGAGATGGAGCCGTTAAGGAAGACCGGAGCCAATAAGGAGAGATGGAGTCGCTAAGGAAGACCAGAGCCAATAAGGAGAGATGGAGCCGTTAAGGAAGACCGGAACCAATAAGGAGAGATGGAGCCGTTAAGGAAGACCGGAGCCAATAAGGAGAGATGGAGTCGTTAAGGAAGACCGGAACCAATAAGGAGAGATGGATGTGATGAATGGAACCAAGTGAATTTTAATTGAATTTAGACAAGGAGACCCTGGTAGATGGTTTGGAGGTTGCGAAGAGCTGACTCACGAAATCGTAATGACATGATTGCAAACAAACCATGCCACGGGTGGAGTTAGAATCCGCGACACTCTGGAGTTTCGAGACTCTGTGATCGCGGGTTCTAACCCCACCCGTGGTATGGTTTGGTCTTGAAGAAGCTTGGCACAGGTGATTGTAGGTCTGCTGCTTTTAATGTTGGGTGGGAGTGTGGTGGCGGAGATTGTTAAGTAAATATCCTAGATTTTCGTTCATCAGATTGTGATGGACTTGAGTACCAATGTTAGTGTACAGGCCGCATAGGAAATATTTATTCCCTACGGAAAGTTAAATCAAATGATTGTATTAATGTTGGTCCTTTTACCTAACATAAATCAAATGAATCTGATCCCAGATGGATAAATAGGAGACTGGAACATTTACCGAGAAAGCTGAGAACTTGTAAGCCTTCTCAAAGGCATAGAGAGTAACCTTGTGGACCAGTGTGCTCGTGCTGGAGGAGACAACATCGACTGGTCAGGACTGAGAGGCTGGAGTTGCAAAGGAATCCAAAATGGGTTCGAGGCGATTCTTTCCTGTGTGCAGGACTATGATCGTGGAGGAATGTTGATTTACTCCGACTGGATCTGGGCAGGTTGCTGGTGACAAGCAGGAAATATGTTCTATTTTTTTTTTTTTGACGATTGTTTCCTGTCGGTTCTCGCACAAGAGTACACAAATAGTGTCCCGGCAGTTGGTAGTCATGAGTGTCTGAGGAGGGAGGGCAAGTTGGATGATGTCACCGTCTCTGGAAACGTGTCCGGAGTTCGAATCTCCTTCGGTATGGCTGGAAAACATTAGGGACGTGTTTCCATAGGACACCTGCCGTCCCTGTTCACACATCAGTTTAAAATGGGTACCTGGGAGGTAGTGGACTGGTGTGGGTCGCATCCTGGAGTTTACCTTGAGTTTACCTGGAGAGAGTTCCGGGGGTCAACGCCCCCGCGGCCCGGTCTGTGACCAGGCCTCCTGGTGGATCAGCGCCTGATCAACCAGGCTGTTGCTGCTGGCTGCACGCAAACCAACGTACGAGCCACAGCCCGGCTGATCAGGAACTGACTTTAGGTGCTTGTCCAGTGCCAGCTTGAAGACTGCCAGGGGTCTGTTGGTAATCCCCCTTATGTGTGCTGGGAGGCAGTTGAACAGTCTCGGGCCCCTGACACTTATTGTATGGTCTCTTAACGTGCTAGTGACACCCCTGCTTTTCATTGGGGGGATGGTGCATCGTCTGCCAAGTCTTTTGCTTTCGTAGTGAGTGATTTTCGTGTGCAAGTTCGGTACTAGTCCCTCTAGGATTTTCCAGGTGTATATAATCATGTATCTCTCCCTCCTGCGTTCCAGGGAATACAGGTTTAGGAACCTCAAGCGCTCCCAGTAATTGAGGTGTTTTATCTCCGTTATGCGCGCCGTGAAAGTTCTCTGTACATTTTCTAGGTCGGCAATTTCACCTGCCTTGAAAGGTGCTGTTAGTGTGCAGCAATATTCCA